AAACAGCAATTCTTCAAATGTGTACACTTCTTCAAATTGTATTAAGTAAGGATTCAAGATATTTAAGTTCCATTTGGATGCAATAGTTGTTGGTGGTAGATTTCTTCGTATTTTCTTACTTGATAAATTAACAATTTCTATTTTATAAAACATAATCAAATAAATCAAGTAGAAAGGAAACAAATAATGGATCATTGAGATAAAAAAATAACTAGATTAATTATTATTTTCTGAAACTAAATTGGACAAGGCATAAATGTTTTTTGTCTTAAAAGATAGAGAATTTTTTAAAGGTTTTCTCAGTGTGTTTCTTGTTTTTGTAGAAAACCTATAATAAGTATTTCTAATATTAAAAGGATGTAATGTCATAAGAGTATTACTCCTTGGTCTTATTTTCATAATCAAATGAAGATTTTCATCACAAAAGAAAAAAACAAATTCTATGTAGTCTTTAGATAGAGTATACTAAATTATAAAGGTTCTTGTATTTCAGACATAAATCGAATTTCACAAGTGAATTTTCAATTATCCTAAACGTTGGTTGAAAGTTTCAGTTAAAAATTAACTTCGAATCATTTTTCATTCAAAGATTCATATTCGAAATTCATTATTTAGTTGTAGAAGAAATTTCAACTATATTGATAGGCGTATTCTCTGAACTTTAAAATACTATATATTTACTTATGAATAGAATGACTCTCAAATGTTCATTCATGAAGGAAATTGTTACAAAAACCAAAAGAGCAATAACTTTGAGTTCAAAGATATTCTTTTGAATTCTTCTTCTAGTTTTTATTTTGTTTTGTATATCAGAGTAAATTCAAGAAATAGAAGTAAAAACATTATTAAATGTATGTAAGAATTCAACGTCTCTCATCATCAAAAAGACATCAATAAGGCATAGTTCATTGAATACAATTTAGCTCTCTCAAAATAAAACCAACAAATATTTCATTGAGCAATGATAGTTTTCTAGAATTCATACATTTATTTTTTAAATGTTTCATTTATATTTTCTTTCAAGAAAAATACAGTTATAGAATCCATNTCATTTGAACTAAACTTTTTCAAGTGATCCAGAAGTTGACTTCTTTCAGTCTCGTTGTTTTCTTCTTCGATCCGTAACTGATTTAAACGTTCATTTATTTTCTCAACCGAAAATATATTGGCCATAATACATATGTATATATTTCGACGTGTGAATGATGAGATTCTTCTGAAAAACAAATCGACTATATTCTTCGAATAATTTGATCGAATATCCAATCCAATAATGGATATTTGAATTTATAATCACAATAATAATTATTATTATATGTAAAAATCTAGAAGAAACGCGAAAAATAAAATTAACACTATCTTAATCTCCGACGTTAAAAAAAGAAAAGATCAAATAGAAGCTATGTAAATTTCGAATGTATTATCGGTTAACAATTGAATAGAATTTTTTCTAAATTGAAAAGTATTCTATTGGAAGCGATGCTGTATATTTGTGATAGTTTGCAATTGAGCAATGAAGTCTAGTTCTCTAGATAAGTTCTTAAAACGCCTTTTCAATAATTTCAATTGGCCAAATTTTATCGTAAATCCGTGCAGAAGACTTAGAATTATGTTGACGGTGAAGAAAAATTATCCATATGAAGTGTATGATTTATAAGTGTAGAAATTGTTGATGTGTGTGTGTTCGCGTTTATTATAAAACCAGCAAAATACGAGAATTAAAACCAAGAAGAATGGTCACACACACAACACACAACACGTCGATGAGGACATCCATCGACTTACTCGTAGACAAACACAAGATGAACAGAAAGAAAACAAACAGACGACAGACGAAGAGAAACTCTATCACAAGACGATAGAAAATAAACTACGCAATAGATATATAGATATATGTTTCTTCGACCTTGTGTGAGAAGAGAAACAAAGGATGGACACGATAGACACACAAGATGAAAACATGTATATATACCACTAACACCTTTCCCCTTAAGATTATTACGAAGGAGAATAACGATCAGGAGATTTATGAGTTTGCATTGGAACATTTCAATTCCGCATTTTGAACGAAGATGCTGATCTGAACCAGATCTGAAGAATGAACTTGAAGAACGACGTTGACCTGCACTTAGCCATATAACAAGTATATATCCCGAACAATAAGAAGACCGTAGACGATTATAAAGGGAATTATTGACTTTTGTCTGTCTGCACAAATGCTATTCAATGGCAATATTTGAAAAAAATCGAGCCCTGAATCGGTAAGAAACAAACTCATTTTAATTCGAGCAACGAATATCATTCGACATTAGAAATCGAATTCAATCGAGGTTTATACTATTTCGGATTCCACTCAGTTCATATTTTGTATTTCATCAACAACCAATAGGATTAAAAGTAAACTCGAGAGATTTACCATTGATATATCAATGATGAGAGAAAATAACATGAAAACTTCTTCATCTATAATTGTATGATTTACAATTAGAACTGACTGGTTTTTACAAAATGGAACTATATTGATATGAGTAAATTGTTCGGACAAGAAAAATTCACGACTTATATTAAGAAAACTAATCAAACAGATGAAAAGATTATCATCATCAAAAAGAGAATACTGTCTGTGATTATAAAACTGACAAAAAAATGTATACATATCTATATCTATATGACTTTCAGTGAATAAATCTTAAATCACTGTGAAATACTTCGCTATGTCAAAGTTTCATTGAACTATGAAATATATAATCAAATCTATAATAGTAAGCAATAAATCGAATGAACAAGTAATTCTAAGTATTATTTATTTATCTTCAATCTTGTAGAAATATTACATTTGCAATTCAAAAATTTAATTGAAAAAAAGATTTAAGATTCGGAAAAGTTCATTTTCTACACACCACAACTATGATATTTGATGCCTATGAGATTGATAGTGAATGATGATAATTACTTAAAGAGTTTAATCAATTTTCATTACATATTAAAATGTTCATATGTCATAATTTCAGTCGAGTGCATGATTCTGATTTGATCCAATCGAAATTAATGTTCGATTATGGACTATATTAATTCTGAAACAGGCTGAATTCTAATTACGACGACAATATGCATATACAGCTATTTCATGTTCTTCTTTTTACAAACTAAGGCCGAGAACACACTAGAAAGATAAAAAAAGTTGCGTTTTTTTTAAATCAGACCGCTTACACACTGCGTGTTTAAATTGCCAACCAAAATGTAGGGTTGCTATTGTAATAATAATGAAAAGTATAATGACAAATATGTCAAATGTATTGTTTGTCAAAGATCTATCGCTATCTTACTGTTATTACTGTATGTTAGTACGTGGTATAAGTCAAACTTATAAAAGAATTATATTCATCAGTCGAATAATTTATAACTATGAATTAATAGGAATTTTATGCATCTTCTATCATTTTAATCATCTCTTTTAAAAGTATCGATGAATGTGTAATTATGACGAGTTACAAAGAGGGTTTAGCTCCATAAATAGGAACAAATGAATAATTTTAACGTATAAACCATTAATATATCTTATTTAAAATAGTAATATCGAGACAAACAGATTAGTAGAACAAGTCTAATACGCTTTGGTCTCAACATCTGCTCGAAATATAAAGAATAAACATTTTTTATAAAGTTAAAAAGTAATAATGATTATGTGATTGAAACTATCTCTTTATCAATTGAATGTTTGATTGAATCATGATCATTCTTTATCCATTTATTCACTCTCGAAAAATACCAAAAAATAAAATAGCTGATGGCAATATATGCGCCCTCTTATGGTAAAGCGACGCTCGATACTGATTGGTAGGCGAAGTTAATTCGCTTCCATTAAAATATCTATTGTGTCGGATTCGATATACCGGATGAAATTATTTGAAGTAGATAGTCGTTTCATTTTCGAAACGAGTTCATTAATTCACCCATCTAAACATACCTACGGTATGGCCATTATATATTCTATTGAGAAAATAAATGAACGTTTAAATCAGTTACGGATCGAAGAAGAAAACAACGAGACTGAAAGAAGTCAACTTCTGGATCACTTGAAAAAGTTTAGTTCAAATGAAGATACACTCAAGGTTGTTGCTGCATTAACATCTTTACATAAGAATATGGAATTAATCAAAGAAGAACGTTTGGAAATTTTGAAACATTTTCCAAGACACATGGAAGAAGGTAATTTTGTTTTCTACTAATAGGCGACCCAGATCAAACTCGAGGTTAATCAAAGTATTTTCTTCAATGAGATTCAACTAGAAGTATCTATTATAAGATTGGCAGATGCAGAATTTTTTATGGATTCTATAACTGTATTTTTCTTGAAAGAAAATATAAATGAAACATTTAAAAAATAAATGTATGAATTCTAGAAAACTATCATTGCTCAATGAAATATTTGTTGGTTTTATTTTGAGAGAATTAAATTTTTATTCAATAAGATTTGTCCCAATGATATCTTCTTGATAATGGAAGACGTAGAGTTTTCACATGTATTTCGTAATTGTGTTTTTTCGTATTTATTCAATTGACTCTGATGTAGAGAAAAAGTGCAAGAACGATAAGAATAAACTCAAAAGAATGTTCTTGGATACAGAGTTGTTATTCTTTTTTTTTTAATTTTCTTTATATTTGAATTTCTGAGAAATATTTTATTCGAACTAGGAATGTAGCATTTCAAGCTTTTGATGATGATCTTATCGATAGAGATTAATTTTTTTTTCTTGAACAAAATAACAGATTTCGAGTATGAATCATTAAAGAAAAAATCATTTAAAGTTACCATTTGGTAGAAAACTATCTCTAGCCTTTCTCATAATAAAATTTCTTCTGAAAAATTGGTTATTGTGTCTGGAATACATTGCACATGCGTAACCTACTATGCTGCATCTAAAGACTGTACATATAAGTTTTAGTTAGAAATGGTCACATTTTATTATGGTAAGAATGATGATCAGCATTAGTATTGTGTTATTAAATCTATTTAATGTTAAAAATACTTCCTATATGTTTTCTAGAAAAGCAAGAAATATATAGAGAAAATCTTCAAAAAAGTTCTCTATCTTCTAAAATGAAAAGATTGATTTCTTGTTGAATCTAGTTTAGAAAAAAATGATTTATTTAAGCTAGGTACCTTTTCTTCTGGGTCACTCGTTATTTGTTTCGATTTTGTTTTCCTTTTTTCTTTATTTGATTGGATTTTGTTAAAAAGATACTATTTCTGCACGAAGTAAGAAAATACGAAGAAATCTACCACCAACAACTATTGCATCCAAATGGAACTTAAATATCTTGAATCCTTACTTAATACAATTTGAAGAAGTGTACACATTTGAAGAATTGCTGTTTCAAACACCACCAAAAATATCTGGTAAGATATTTTATCTGTCTTTCTTTAAAAAGAAAACAATATTATGATCTTGAGAATAACTTGTTCAATGATATTTCTTTTTCCAGTATTCTCTTTCTGTTGTCATAAAACTGACAAAAATTTCAAATTTATTTTCAAATACATTTTTATCTGCGAAAAAACGAATTACAAAGGATAATAAGAACAGCTAAATTGATTGTGTTGGCGATCATTAGGAATCATTTAGAAATAAATGAGTTTTGAAAAGTGAAATATTCAAAGTAATAAATGATGTAGATTGATTGATTTGATAGAAATAAGTTTTTAGTCTTTTATAAAAAGTCATCATTGAGTATCATTCTAATCATTTATCAGTAATATATGACTTTATATGAACAATTAATTGTGATTCGAATCTTAAATAATTTGTTCTTTTAATTTATCGAAAGACTAAGGAATAGATTTATGTAGGGTGTGGTCTTTCTGATGATTCAGCAAAGTAAGAAACTAGTAATAAGAGCAATTGATAGATCCCAATTTGTCTCAATATGAGATTTATGTATTATAGCTAATAGTAGATGATTCAATAGTTAATCAGCAATATATTTTTTTTTATCTCACTCCCATGCTTTGATATAGTTCTCCGACCAGTGTGGTAAATAATATAATATCTACATCGGTATTTTTTCAACCAAAAAGGTTATGATAGAGACATCAATACTATGTTCGTTTTCACAGGTTTTTCAATTCTAAGTTTACAAATCGATATTAAGAATTTCGTAACCAACCTTATTAATAGTACTAACAAAATGGAGTCTTTTTCTATCTCTTTTACCATTTTATATGTTTTCAACATGAAGAACAATGTTTTAATCGCAAGATCTCGAAAAGATGCTGATATTACCAGATATAACTGATCGAAAGATTTTCGTGAAATTTGTCAAGCTTCACATAAATTGTTGAAATATGAATCTATTTGGACGGATGATTATGCATCGTCTTCTACCATTTTATGATTTTTTTGTTTATTTTTTCATCGTATATCAAAAGTTTGACAGCAGTTCTCTGTATGACGAATGTTGTGCAAGACCATGATATAAACCGTGATTTAAAATATTCTGAGTATTTATTTTTAAAGACAGCATAGAATTGCATCATTGTTTCGTAGATTCAATAAGAGTTGCTTGTAAACAAAAACGTTCATGAGCTTGTACATAAAATTGTTTTCGAAAGTGATTTTCTAATATCAGCATTAAAAAGATTCTTGTGTTCATTTTAAATGAATAAATATATAGTCGTAAATCTTCTATTGATGTGTTTAAGTTACGTTACACGAATGATCACAATTTTTCCAAGCAGTAATGAGTTAGAGCAAAAAATAAAAAAATAAATTTCACTCTATCGCATTTAAGTTAAAGTAATTATGATCTTTTTTGTACATATCATCGTTTTCATGTTTTCGTTTTCAAACACATGAATGGAATCAAAATCTAACATAAAACTGAAATATATTTTGTTTTTATTTGAATCATCGCAATGCTACTGATTTGATTCATTAATGTGAATTTTATACATTTTATTTAGATCGTGCACTACGTTTCATCGATGTTTGCTCTCTTATATCGCTACAAAATCTTTTAAGGACTGAATTTCCACCGGATCATCAAGCTTCATGTTTTGCTAAACATTTGTATTTGACAATGAATCAACGTTTTTCCAATATGGAATCTAGCATTGATGATGCAGCTACTGTTCTATTTGATGCTTTAGGTTTCAATGATGCCCAGGTCGAACATTCCGGCTACCGGATCCCGTAGGATACTCCAGGAAATATGCGGGAAAGTCGCCATCTCCTGCAGGAAAACACGGGAAATCGCTGGAACATGGAAGCAGTATTCCGGCCAAAAATACGGTCGAACTTTTCCGGCGGATTCCTGCCAAGTTCCGGTGCTTTCTGGCAGGAATTGATCGGAAATGACCGAAAAATTTCCCAACCGGAACACTGCTTCCACTAAATCAACGGAACTACCCGGAACTGGCCGCTTCCAGGTCGGACTGTCAGACCTGAGTGGTGATTTAATCACAGCGTTTGTATCATATCTTCGATTATTTCATCTCGATATTCATTTTTCGTTCAAGGTCTCGAAACAAATTACAGTTTCAAATGTCAAACAAAGTGGTTTATGCAGATGCTGATCTTACTGTTTTCAATTTGAGAACAGCGATTCGTTTAGCAGTTGTGGAAGTATGGTTAAAATATAACTTTTCTTATTAGCAATTTCTACTCATTCTTATAGAATAAAAGAGTTGTGGGTTCCTCAAACGAATGTGTAAATGGTGAACCACAATTAGTCGCTGAAGCAGTTGCTGCTGCTATGTATAACGAAAAGATAATTGCTAAAGTAAGACATTAATAACTGGGAGTTTATGTAGAAAAAGATGAAGAATTTTTCAATCGGATAATAATCTTGACAATTGAGATCATGTATTTTATGATTCGAAATTTAAAAAATGCAACGAAAGAAACCTTTGAATTTAAAAGTTTAGCTCATACTAATATACTTTGAAAACGCTATGATATACATGTAGATTGAATACGAGTTCAATAGTTTTTTTTTCGAAAGAATAATTTTTTTTGTGAATTTAATATTCTATTATTATTCTCTCGAAAGTAAATTATCACAATGTTTTTCTTGAATAACATATTACATGATAAAAAGAAATTCTCTCTAAAAAATTTCACATGTTACATTCTCTATCATTTGGATAGCATAACTACATCAAATTTTAAATTTAATTCAACTTACTACTTTCTTCTCATCTTTTTTTTCTTCTTGTCTTTTTTTCTTGCAAGTAATATTTCTCTTCATTCATTCTGCTAGAATGAATGGTTGGTTGATCTAATCAAGATCAAACAAATATAGAACTATTCATGAATTAGTTAAACGATTGAAATCAAAATTAGCAATAAGTCGTTATTTGAGTTTTATAGAATATTCTATTACACTTGAAATAATGATATTTTATTTTCTATATTCTTCATATATATATGCTAACTGTAATTTTTCTGTAAATCAGATAGTTCATTTAGATTAAATGTAAAAGTAATTGAGATAAAACTAATTGAAAGTTAAACATGTCATCTATATTAGGCGAACCATAATTATTTTAGAATGTATCCAGCATAATAAACCTATGTTGAATATGTATATTAAAAGCTTTGAAAATAGATTTCTGTAAGAATAAGATTTCAATATTTTTTCAAGTAGGTTACATTGAATTGTTGGAATAAAACTTTTCATTGTCATATATCTGCATTTTGACTTATATATTACAATCTCCATTGTCAGGATGTACCTATCATTCATACATGATAACTATTATGAAAAAGTATCAATTATATTGGATACATTCTAGAATAAGCATGATTATCTTCATCTAAATAATTTAGAAAAATTTAAATTAATCTATCTTATAAAATCGTCAACTAGAATCTAAATACATAAAACAATCTCAGGTGCCGGTAGAATTAACAAATCACTAGAGTTTGTAAGAAAAAGGAGAGCGAGAAAATATAGTACGAATAACCTAAGAACATCAATGAAATTTTATATTGATATATCTCTATAAATGAGATCATGAAGAATTCTATTATATGTCGTTTTGTATAGCCAAATTTGGTTCTATCATATGATATATTATTAAGAAAACTATTGAGATATTTTATCAATGAGCAAATGATAAAATATTGAGTTAAAAAATTGCCGAAAATAAAAAATATACTTGTTGTGGATAATCTGTCCAAGATAAATCTATTGAATATCAGAATATTTAAAATCTATGTTCGAATAAGATACAATTTTTCGATGCATACGTATTTTTTTCTTTCTTCTTCATAAAACACAAGAAGGTAATTGTTGAGAACATTGTCCGATTGAAAAATAATATTCGAGTTTTTCATTAATAATCTCTTAATGAAACACTAAAAGAATATACTTTATGATTAATAGAATCGACGTCGGACAGTGAGCGCACCAGCAGCAACAGGCGTCAACTTATCTGAAATCCCATCAGCTGATACATCAGTTGTATCAAACGTAAGTATTTATCAATTATTAATTTTTGTAGTATCGATTTTTCTTTACACCAGCAGGATAGAATCTTCATGATGCTTATATCTGGTCTGGAGATTAGGTTTTATGCACATAAATTTTCCAATATGATTTTAAATTGTATTGCAAATGAAATCGAACCGAATGAAACAACGCAAATAGAAAAATTCTCGGTTATGGAAAATGGTGTAAAACGTCATGGACTATCACTGGTAGATGCAGATGATCGTGCTATCATTTTTCGCATTATGGACAGTATCCAACAAACCATTTCAACAGTTTTATGTTGAAGTTTCTTCTTTTTTATATTCTCACATTTTGATATGTAAATATATGTTTAAGATAAAATTCAATAAATTTTCATCGTCTTATACTATTGTAATATTATTTGGGCCAATCGTACTCATATGAATTAAAAGAAAAATGCTTTTCACTGAAAAATTTGTGGTATGAATCATGGTCAACGCGAAAAGAGACTTTTCTTAGAGATAAACTAAGAAAGTTCTATGAAATTATTTTTTAATTTTTCTCTAATGAACTAATCTAGATTTAAATTTTCCTTGATTAAAATTAGAACTCAAGGAAATATTTCACTGACGATAGTTCGTATGATATACCTTACTGTATATTAAATGATTTTCATCTTTCTAAAAATATATTCTTAATGGAATTTCACAGTTTCGCTTGCGTGTTGATAATAAGATTTCGTAAATATCTTGAGGGTGACCCTCTGGACACAATGAAGAACAAATAAAGAAAAAAAAACATGCCCTATTTATTTTTACTTTTGATTGTCTGACCATCCACGGCGGCGAGAACAATGATCAGGTTTTCTAGCTCGCTTAATATTTCGCTATGCTATCATCTTTCTCTCCCTCTATTTCTTTCTGTTTTTTTTCTCCAATATTGGTTTAAATAAATTCGGACTACGCAATTTATTGAATGATAAAGAAATCAAGGCACTTCTATTAGTCATTTACGCTTTCACGAGACAGCAACGATTCAATGATCCTTCACACGCTTAATTAAAGAAAAACAAAATACTGGATTTATCTATTCTAATATCATAGATATGTCGAAATAAAAAGTAACACTTCTTTGAACTTCATGCACTTAGTTTCAATGTACAGAAGCTTATTATTAGAAAATGACTCATAGTTATAACTCCGCTTGATAGTTATAACTCGAGTTGATAGCTATAACTGAAGTTATAGCCATCTTAACTTTTGGCTTTTTTCTCTACTTTTTACTTTTTCCAAGAAACAGTTTTAACTCCAACAGTGATATATATAGATATAGATACGTATACATTCTTTTGTCAGTTTTGGGTGTGGGTGTTGGTGTCATACTTATATACACACACCCACACCCACGTTTTTGACTGCTTTGGTAGTAGATAAAATTTTACCCGCCTCTCCAATTACTGTGAAAGATTGCGTCGGCTTCATTTTGCGCACACAAAAGTAGATGATTGATTTCTAATAGAAAGTTGAAAATTTCAAGTAAGCAACGCCCAGATCAAGACAAACATCACCTAGAAGTAGACAAAAACGATCGGTAGAATAAATACTAATTTGAAACGAAAAATGTCATTCAGATCAAACGTGAATTTTTTTGCCTTTTTGCTTATGTAGAATCACCAAGGATATACATATGTGCATATGAGTGCGCAGTAAATATATATCCAGGTCTTCTGTCATTACCATTCGGAAAAGAGATACGTACGAAAATAACCTCATCCCTATTACACAAAAATCTACATAATGACATAAATCCAACTCGTTTTTATCGTTTTAACATTCTTTGTTTCCGAGTGCGTCCATCGCAGAGGAACTTCTTTTCTTACTTTCTAACTTTCAATTAGATCTCATTTTCCAACTTATAAAAAACAAACCTATACCTTCAAATTATGTTCCATTTTAGCTCATTCTATAACTCCGGAGGCCGCTAGAACTAGTACAAATTACACTATTCAAAACAGTATAGGAGGTGGAAACTAAATCCTCAGCTCATGATGATCATCCATTCTTTACAAAACGCTCTAGATACAACAGCTGATCTTGCACTGCTGCTTTGACTTCTACCCTCAAATCTATCCATTGAAACAAGGCGTTACGGGCCTACCTCACATATTGTTATGTCATTCCTTTTCTTCTTCTATCCAGTCACCCGTCACATATATATGTTGTCTTCTCAACGGAGGAGATATATATATATATATGTGTGTGTATACAACATGTTGTTTGTTTTGTAGTTTGTTTTTTGATTTCCAATAAACAAGAAGGAAGAACAACTAAATCCCTAATACAAGGGATCAGGACAACCATACCGCTAGATGTGAGTTTCATCCACATATTTAAACCAGTTTCTCAATGCTTCTTATTTTACCACGAAGACACTATCATCTACGTCAACGCTCCTAATATTCATTCGAGAAGAATAGAAACGCAAAATTTCTTCCATAGGCTACAAGACAAAAGCGTTCCTCATACATATTTTCACTAAAGCAGGTAGCATTATTCCAATTCTTCCGCGAAGCGATTAGTTATTAGTAAATAATTCAAACACGGATATGGTGTCGATTGAACGAAAAAATCCAATACCGAAGAGAATTTTCAGCGAAAAAATGAGCGAAAATAAACAATAGCGAAATCTCAAAATTTTATTATCAGCAGAAAAAAGCGGTGGTAGATAGTAGTGAATTTTTTTTCGATATTATTGGTATGTCTATGTTTGATGATCAATCATCATTGCTGATATATGTATAGTATAGTAGCTACTGTTTGTTCTGCTGTTATCGACTCTGTTATGTGATATATGTAATTATATTTTTGTGTATAATCGTCACCTAGTGATATTACAGTCTACTGGTACATATATCATTCATGTTGGAATTCATTCAGTTCATCAATGCTTGTAGCGAAAAAATCTGCAACTGTTCTTTGATTTCTTCATTCAAGTACTATATTTTAAAAACTGTACTTTTTTATATCACTTATTCCCTATGTCTTGCATGTCCTTCGATTTAAATAAACTGAAATTTCGCCATTTTAGAATTTGCTGCTTTACTATTCGACATATGAGGTAAAAATGCTTCTACTGAATATTCTCTTCGCTCAAAATATCTTCGCTCTTTTTTTCTTTGCTCAAAATAGTTTCGCTCTTATTTTTTTCGCTGAACGCGTTTCACTGATTTGCCACCATACCCAAACACGCGTTCATTATTGATAGAAAACAAAATATTTATTTTAGATACTGGTGGATAAATACATGCTGCAGGATCTTTTCTCCTACAGAAATAAAAAGTATTCTCATTTTTTTCATTCTTCCGCGAAGCGACTAGTCAGTAGTAAATGATTCCATCAAACGTTCACTTAAGATAGAAAACAAAGTATTTATTTTAGATATTGGTCGAGAAATACATGCTACAAGATTCTTTTCTCCTACAGGAATAAAATTATTCTCATTTTTTCATTCTTCCACGAAGCGTTCATTATTGATAGAAAACAAAATATTTATTTCAGATACTGGTTGAGAAATATATGCTGCAGGATTCTTTTCTTTTACAGAAATAAAAATTATTCTCATTGCGCCGCTAAGGGACTGTTGTGTTTGTGAAAGTAGAAAGATTGATGGAGTCTGAATATCTAGCACCGTCAGTCATACTGCCATGATTTTTATTCTCATGGACTTTCTTCATTTATCCAAACGTTTTTTCTTTAATGTTGACCATTTTTCTGATAAAGTTTTATATATCCTGCTTCCCATTGAGCATATATGAATATGGTGAAATATGTAGCCTAGAGCTCTTGAAGAGCTTTCACTCCGACAGTGTTTGTTTGTCGAGTTATGATTTGTTTGCCTAAATCGAATTACCTGAAGAAATTCTATGTTTATTTTGTAACATTTATTTTTTCGCGAATGGAAAAAGGATGAGATAGGTGATTTACTCGCTAGTTGTGGACCCATTTCAGTTTTGACTGTCTGATTCTAACGTCAATAGATTGATTAAAATGATGAGTTTACATTGTATTAATACCGATCTCAATCTGATAGTCAGGGACTTTGGCGAAACAAATTTTCTCAGCTCAGGAAAAATGAATATTAAAAACGTATCGCAGAAATTTTTCACGCGTTTCGATTCAGGAATGAGGAAGTTCATACTTAAAGATGTATAAGAGGATACGGGGAGTTTGACCCACGAAATCGAACAACTAAAGGCGTACTTCTGAGGAGTTTAAAAAAATATCAAAAGAAAACCGTTGAAGAACGGTTCAATGCGTTTTAGATTAGTTGTCAGTTCAAAAAAAGTCACAAAAAATCAAGAAAAAATATCCGTACTTACCAAAACGGTATCTATGATATTTGTATTCTACTTCTAAATATAGATTCTATTTAAAAATACTTTTAATTAACTACTCTATTGTCTGTATACCGTTCCTTATTCTGTTTAGTTTACATGGGAAACAGTAACTGCGGTCGGAGACTTAATCTACTTTCATGTGCGAACACTGGGAACCGCAATCATGGTATGTAAATCCTCTTTTTTTACAGAGAGCTAAAATCAAATAATATGTCTACATAATATTTCAAATCCAAACTAATTGAAATTTGAAGGGGACAACTTTTGCTTTGAGCCTTCTATGAAGAAACAGGATTCACATACCAACTTAATCAATTACTAAAACCATAATATCTCTTAGACGATTCACAATCAAGCACAAAAGTGAATGATTAACTGCCCGAGACTGGTCAATCATTCCCATTGAATAATCTCCATGGGCAATCGTCTCCTTCGACTGACAATACACGATCTACAATGCAAAGGCAAAATCATCATCCTCCACCAGAAAACCATACAACCAATGTAAGAAAAAGGCCTCAAAAAGTTGAAAATACTAAGAAGCAAAATTGTGATCTTAAACCATCAAGCCAGCTACGTGATCGACATAATAGGCTACTCTTTGCTTTAGTTCCAGGTGTGGGTGTATTCTTCTGTATCACAGACACCCACATTACACACCCTACTAGCAAACAAATAACTCTCCTATTACAGACATAAGCAAATAGCTAATGCCCTAATTATAGATCGTATAAAATAAGGTAAAAATTTTGAAAAATATTTTCTCGTCAACTATTTAGCATTAGTTTTGTATGTTTAAAAGGGCATAGGTGAATTTCAAATTTTAACCCTAATGGGGTTACGCTAACAAATTTTTTGAACTCGGATTGTGGTATTTATGTGAAACATTCTAAAAAGTTTTAAAATTTCGAAAAATATTCGGATTAACGAACGAAAATGTCAAGGTTTTCGATGAACGACTACGGAATTCGCGAGGCTATCTTTGTATAAACTTTCGGATAGGAACTCAATTGTTCCAAAAATATAGCTTTCCTATAATACCCTAACAGTCTCTGAAAATATGATTTAGTTTTCGATTTAAAAACAAAAAAGTATTCCAAATGCTTTTATTGTATTAAAATTGGCATTTCAGGAAATCAATGCGCATAGTTATTAAATGTTTTAGGAAATGAGATGTTTTTACAGGGTACCCATCAACTTTGCTCATTCTGGCTCTTTTAGAAATCTTGCTCTCTGATAGAACAATCCATGCATGCGTCTCCAACTGAATCGTTGCTTCCTAAAGAGAAACGTGTCGTTTTGATTGGTTGTACAGGTAAGTTTTAGTCAATGCACATGAATGCTTTAATTGGTAGTTTTGCTGGCAGGGCACGGTAAAGGAACTCTCGGAAATTATCTTTACAATCTTGGACACCCAGGGTCCGATGGACTTTCACCAATTTTTGATGAATCTGCCAAACTCGATCCACACACTCAAGATCCTTATTGCCATCTTCTGGAAATCAAAAATTCTCCAAATGCATCGGATGCTCGGAAGAGAATGTCATGTAATATCCTCGACGCGCCTGGACTGAATGATTTTGGTCGAGAAAAAGATTTAAATCATATGATACATGTACTTGAGATGATAAGCAAGCAGTTTCATAGCATACATGCACTGGTGCTTGTGTATCGTTTCAACACTCGCATAGATGCAACGATCGAACCTGCGCTTCGCTATTATCGCGACTTGTTTGCCCCGTTATTTAGAGCCCACAATGTCATTCTGGTTCTAACGCAGGTTCCGTCCAATGACTACGAGCTCCAAATGCACAATGGATCGTGGGAAAGCACTATTGAAAATCATTTAGATGGATGCAACAAAGCCGTCGAGCTTAACGAGAGCTCATGGAATTGCCCTATCGATCAGAGACGATGCTTCTTTGTTAACTCGAAATGGATAACTCAACAAATTGACGAACTGTTGGAAAAAATTATTAAAAATGAAAAATTGAAAGATGACTTGCTCTATCGAAGCTATCTTATGCGTGAAATGATTCTTGATTATATATCAGAAGCAACTGAAATTACTCTAGATTCACATTTGATGTCATTTCCAAAGGCACTCGAAACTGAACGCATGAGTGCATTAAGAATCATTGATGGTCGAATCCAGGAGCTATTGAATGCAGTATTTATCGAGAATGAGCATCGCGCAATGTACCTCAAAGATCTAGACCGATTACATACAGAACTCACTGACATAAAAACCAGAATTGAGCAGTGTAAAGATGACGTTAAGAGACTATCTGCCACTCAATGAACACCTTCGAAAACAGTATGCGGTGATGACTGGATCAGATTTTCTACCGAAGGTAAATATTATATTGATGCTCCATGTAGCGACAATTCAACATGTGGCGGTTGTCAATGTACATTACAAAACCAACAGCATAATGCGTCCCGTTCAAGAGTGTTCCCAAGCAAAGGCATTACTCACTGTGTGGAAGTAAGGCCAGATGTGTTTAATTTCAGAAAGAAAGAGGATCACTGCTGGTTCTACAGATTCTGGCTTGAATATTGCGGAGAAAAACACCATGCAACTGAAATTGAACGATTGCGTATGCAGCAGGTAGAACTAAAAGAGAAACAAATCAAATTTACTCGGGAACTCATGGAAAAGAAGAAATATCTTGATGGTTGCGATAAACAGCTGACAGTTCACCGTGTGAACCAGGAAAGTCTCACCAATGATAAAGACTTGTTGCTTCCAAAGCTATTCAAAATAGACAGTATTCAAGATGTGTTGGCTTGCATGGGCAAGTTTATGGGTTCTTCAGACTAGACTCATTTTTAACCGATTCATTGTTAACGAATATGTTTCAATATCGAAACCAAGACATAATGAATATCAGCTTAAGAAGTAACAGACCCAGTTGTTGTCATCCTATAGTTTTATTGATTTTCTTTCGTAGGCTTTTTCCTAGATACACTCGAATATTAATTACCATATTCTAGAAATTGTTCACCAGTCTACATATAGCTGGTAATTCTTTACAATAAAGGACTTCTGCTTATGAGATACATTTATCTTTGATTACTATCCAATAGAAGTAATAGTATTTCCAATTGAAATAGCTGCACAATGTATTGATTAGTGTGAACATTTTTCTTTCTTTTCTTGTGTTTCTTACCACACAAGCATCTGCTGTGCACAACACTATCTTGAGAGTAATATTGAGATTTAGTCTAGCAACGATAACTACGATTTGATCCATTCGAAATTGGAACTTGGTAAAGTGAAAATAAAAGGATTCTGCGAAGGTTATCGGATAGATAGTCATACGTAAGTACGGGAAATCTATTGCGTTTGATGGCTTGACATTGTTCAAAAATTCGCTTTACCCGCAGATGCTGTTGTCATTCTATCACAGAAAGGTCGGAATATGAGTTCAGTCAGACCCATATATAAATGAGTAAAGGAAAATTGTTTTCTTCAAACTAGACATGAATGAAAATGTTTGCAGAGTGAAAAGAAGTTTTTAAGAAGAAATGATGAAATTACGATACTTAGATACTATTAAACAGCCTATAGAAATTACTGCAGAACAAACAAGTGAATGTCTTCAAATATATTGATATTAAGGGATGTCGGTGGCAGTTTAGTCTTCATCAACACTCACACCCTCGCTATATTGAAAAATATCGAAGTGGGTTGCCTAGTTCATTTGTCGTACAATGACAACCACGAAGGAGTATTCTTTTAATCTACGAGAAACTGTTATAAAACATTTTTAACGGTGATTTTTAGCACAAAATAGTTAGAATAGTGTGAGTGTGGGTTTCGATGAAAATTAAACTGTCACCTACACCATATATAACCTCCTGGAAATTAATTGAACACATCAAGCGTACTTCAATTTCTACTATGAGCCATTGAATATATGTTTTACTGTTCTTTCAACATTATTTGACAGAATTTGCAAAATTCAGTACTTTTCTGTTAGTAATTATTATTCATGGTACACATTTACCATGTGCTAAACTGTTTTGCACATCATTTCCGTTTTCTATTCTACTCGTTATATTTTATATATAGCATTCGCTATTCTATATCACTTCTTTTTCCAATCATTCTATAATACAGAGTACATTTTCTATTATAAGGTAAGTATGACCGTACGTGTCGTGCCATACAATATTTTGGTACTTAGTTATGCTAAATGTCAACCTAAATTTCTTAAGACCGATCATCGATGGAACTTAATTCGATCACAATTAGAACAAGAAATTCTTCATCATGAAAATACAATTATCTGTTTACAAGAACTATCTTTGATATTGTTGCCAGAACTTGAATTACTTTTTTTCATCGATTGGAATTATACATTGTTTCATAATTTGTATGGTGGATGTCACAACGGTTGTATGGGTATAGGTATTGCAATTCCAGTTTCTATGGAACTTAATTCACTTTCTATTATAAGAATTGGAGATTTTATATACTCGATTAGTAAACTTCGAGAAAAGCATACAAATATTTTAACGCTGAAATGTGATTTAAACGAATCTAACATGCAACAACTGCTACTTGATACATCAGATCCATGGAAAACTGTTATATGGTTAAAGTCAATACTTTCATCTGTATACAAGTTATTGTTAACAATAAATCAATTTATATAGGCACGTACCATATGCCTTGTCTTTACAAAGAACATGGTGTTATGCTGATTCATTCTTCAATTGTGCAAGATTTGGTGTTTCATTTAACAGAGAAAAATTATGATGACTATCGTTTATCAGAATCTAGCATTTATGAAATCTAGTATCGGCGCAATGTTGAACAAGTATTGAAGAGTACTTCTCGAGAGAAAATGGAGTCGAACCAACTTACACAAACTTCGTTCATACACTCGACTGTTCAGACTATTGTGCTACATTAGATTGTATATTTTTTTAGTGGTCATCTTACCTGACGGTGTGGGTGCAGGTGCGGGTGTTTAGAATCTAAACACCCGCACCCACACCCGAATTCCAAATTAATCAGATATGTTAAATAGATATCCTTAAGAAGAAAAAAATCTTCAATGCAATAAAATTCTATTGAGCTTCGCAATGGCTCGAATCAAGTATTTTCTAGTTCTAGTTCTTCTTTGCAGAAAACGTCACCATCAAGCAGAATCATTCTTATAGGCTTCCCTCAGTGATGACACAGGTACATTTAAAATGTAATCGAATAATCCCGATTGCTTGTGGTTCATTGAATACAATTGGAGATAAATGCAAAGATCTTTGACAGTTGCTTGCTGATTTGCCAAATAATCATAAACTATCCAGAATGATTCAAGCAGCGTTTGATCGTGCCACGTGATATAGACAAGTGGACGACCAACTTCAGAAGCAACCATCAGCTGTATGATTGCTATTGAAAATGAAACAGGGAAGTTTCTCAAATTCTATTCATAAATTATACCTTTCAGTTGTAAATCACCATTGAATGCACCACATCCCCAATTTCCAGTCGCAACACCGAACATACATTTTTCCATTGATTTTAGAAAACGAAAACATGTATAAGCTTTGATCAGTTCACGTCTCATATTCTCGAAAGTATACTGAGTGACAGGATCCTTGAATTCGATTGCATCCATAGCGACAACATGACACAACTTGCGGCCCCAGCTTTCCCTTCAATGAACAAAAGTACATCCTCATTACTAGCACGATTTAAATTGGCTTTTCACTCACTTAGGTGTTGTATCGATAAAGTTGTCTTTAAATTTGAAAGTATCTGCATAGCCACTATAAGTCGTAAATTGCTCGCAACCAATCAACAAGATACATTCATGAGACAACATTACTTCACAAACGAGTATACTAATAAGCATTTCCGGACAAACAGTAAATCGTATTTCTTCCTGGGTAATACCTTCTCTCATTACACCGCCGCCCTATAGAGGTTTACCGCAGTTGATAAACTCAAAAACAAAATAGTCAATTCAACTGACGATATATTCGTTAGCGAAGTCAACTTGTAACAGACCATGCATTTCTTCAATACTTCGATCTGTTCTTATATGAATTTTGCAAAGTGGTGCGTGCGACTCCTTCCATTTCGGTATCCATTCATCTGGAAGTGAAAAGCGTCGAAAGCTAAACACACCCTTCGGCACTAATTGCAGAATGTGGAAACAATAGTAGACTATTTTAACGATAAAAAAAACGATTTATACGTACTGTCTTCACTAACACGCTTAAAATAGTGTAAAATACATTTGAGTTTTTCCGGTTGACATGCGGATCCACTTCGAAAAAGACTTCGAACAGAAAAAGCAAGAGTTGTTTTCAGAAGAAAGTACTACTAAATTTGTAGTTACTGATTGAAATTGAAACTTTGATAACTGTGATGTTTGTTATCTATTTTCCTATTAAACTGATGAGGGAAAATACAGAAAAAACCACAAGCCAACAAAGAAGCAGCTTGTCGTTGTGACATGGTTACAGTACGATTTGTTTTGATATTTAATAATGGAGGTGGCTACAAAAGAAAAGGAATACATGCCAATTATCAAGAGACGAGCATTTTCTTTAATATCAACCTGGCTGCAAATGTTACCGACTTCAAGAGCGAAAGAAACCATTTTCGGAAGAGTGAACGACATAAAGTAAGCTCGCTGATCATCAGAATAGTCCTAATAACAATAGAAGTATTGATTAAACACATCTGTGCACGTATTCAACGTTACTTGGTTAAGAACTTGTTGTAGGGAACCTATTTCAAAGTTCGTTCCATTGCTTTTGTCAATTGCTATCTAAAAATATGCCTATTTATTATCAAACGAAAGCAAAAGCTATGCTAGTATCTTACTTTGATGTCATTGACAGTAGCTATCTTCTCATCGCATTTCTGCTTCAGTTCTGCCAAAGCATTTTGAATAATCGGCCATCTGGGTGCCCTGTCATTCTATGAATAAAAGGTTTCAGATGTGTTAGCAATTATTCTTGTTTCAAGTTCACTGTTAAATGTAATGGAGAGCATGGCATTCGAACATGTTCATCATCCCATATGTCGTGATAATTTCCCATTCCATGAATTGGCTCTGGATCAAGATTAGGATTCGATGCATCGTATTTGAATGGCTATTTTTGAACAAAAATTATAATTCTTTCTTATTCAATAGTTTCCTATACTTTGTCATACTTTTATCATAAACGTGTGACCGCGATCGTCAAGATCTTGCATATCGCTTAGAACGGGAGGTGTTTGGAAGAGAGTCGGAATATCGGTCAACGGTACACCCTTGAAAAACATGGGACTATTATGAAAGAGGTTACAATTTGACAGATCTTACGTGGAATATTTCATCGGAGGCCATACCCATTTGAACGTCTTCATTGGCCATATTCAAATGTGGAGTTGTTGTGATGAAGTTTTTATACGCGTCAAATACTTATGGATATATTCACAGTTGAAGAAATGTACGAGAAATATCTGAAAAAAATGGATGGCTGTAAATTTTAATAAGGAATCGTTACAGCTTCTTTCTTTTCATTGCTTTTAAACTGACTTGCAGCGGTGAAACATGTTAGATTACAAACAGCTTCAAATGTACAACTATTGTTGGAATAGGGAAGATTTTGCGGGAAAAGGCAGTTAAAAATTCTGAACTTGTTGACAATTTATTCTTGTTCTAAAAAAAACCTCACATTAATAAAAATACCCAAATTTATCCAAAAATGACTCAATTCATAGCTTATCTTCCACCTTTTTCTTTTTTTCTCTACTTGTAACAAAATTCGTTTGTGACAATGTTGACTGAGTATTTTTCTCGCGGTTTTTACAAATGCAATTTCGATTTCTTCCCATCAAAAACAAGACCTCTTTAAAGAAAAATATTCATTTTTTCGTTTTATTTTCAATGCGTCGCATGTACCATCAGAAAAAAAATGAGAACGACAAAAAATCGAAAACGAGGATTAGGCAAATATTTGATCGGTGACATAAATGCTCGTTTCAAGCGGAAAAATGACGTTCGAGGGGCTACCGGGACTTATTTTTTTGGGATTTATAAGATCTTTTAAAAAATCCGGGATCTTTTCTCCATGTGGTATAACGTGGAAAAATGCTCTTATAAATCATATAAATCTATATATATCACAATGGCAACTATCCTCGGATCGATTTTATCAAA